AGCCTATTATGCTTTTCTTGATTTTCTGACATATACATATAGATTCTTATACTAGTGAATGCTCGTATTAAATATGCCAAAAATTTAACATAATGAGGTCAGCGTATGCACAAGTAATGCCTGTGAGCCAAACGCTCAGGTTCCAGGCAGGTTTTTCTACTGTCTGCACTATATGATGTCAGTGACAGTGGTTATCTCAGGCACACTGCTTGGGTTATGAGCTCAGAAGCCCCGCCCACCTGCTGTTCTAACCTCCTGTTTGTAAAGGCTGCCCAATCAGAAAGGTGGAGGAACTAAAACAGCTTATTTCAGACAGTGGATGAACTGAGGGGCTGCACCAAGCTGTAGTATAAGATAAACTGATAAATGAACTGTGACTCATGCAAAAGCTACTCTAGTACAGTCCAGATGAGCATAAAGGGTTCACTTGAAATTATTGTAACCCTTCGACCCCTCTGTACATTTCCACATCAATATTCATGCTGCAGGCGTATTAATGACCACTGGTCTTAATACAGGCAGCCTTGTATGTATAAAAGGAGATATAAATAAATATCAGTCACTTGTTGCTTCAATCAAAATTATTTTCACTGTTTTGGATTTCAGTTGCTTTTTTTTGCAAGCAGAAAATGTATCTATGTAAATATCGGTGTATTTTAAATTTGTATTTAAATAAAAAGGAGCTGTCACATTTTGCGTATGTGCTTTTTTTTTTAAAGGTGATTGATAAAACAAAAACAAAACCGACTCCTGAAGGTATACCTGCATTAGTGCTTGAGCATTGTGTCCTTCACTTGCAGCAGCTGCGTTGTAATGCATTTAGATGACACCAGGTACCGTTTTTAGACTGAGCTTGTGTTCCAGAGGATGGCATTGAGTTGATGTCCCTTAGCACTGGTTGCCTTTGTTGCACAAGTGGAGTGGAAAGAGTGGCACAGCTCAGCTGACCAGCAAGAAACCAGAGTGGGGTGATGGTATTTGGGCCAGTTATTAATAACAGCACATAGGAGAGGTGGGCATTTGGACCATCTTCTTCTCATGATCACAGTATGGGATAAAGACTAATTGAAATTGGAGCATTACAACAGGAATCATTGATGATCATGATATTCTTAAATGAGCAGGTTTTGTATCTGGTTTTTGAATTCAAACACTTCTTTACGCTCTTGCCTAGAGCTGTATGTCTCATCGGAAAGAGAAAATTACTCAAAGTTTACAGTGTAAATACATTTTTTTTTTACATTGTGCCATCATCCTCATGTTACAAACATGATGAGAATTTACCTAACTGACCTCACCTGTCACTGTCATAAATCATTTTGAAATGCCACACACCATTGCAAGAAAAAAAAAGTCTGTAATCCCTTTGAAATTATCAAGTAGCACTAATCACTCATAAAATATATATTTTTTAATCTAAAGTCACAACAGCTGACAAGTTCAACGTCTTTAAACATTTATGCTTTTCATATTTTATGATCCACACTGAATAACCACACAGTGCGAGATGGAAAAAGGTAAACCTCTGTGGAACAGCTTCTCCAAAAGGAGAAGTGAGTTTTGAGGTCAAGTGTTCCAGCTAAGGATCTCATTTTGGAAGTGTGAGTTGAAGAGATGCCCTTCCTATAAATAAAGGCATTCAAAGTGTGTGAACTGACAAGAAGTGATGTTCTCAGTATAGATTGCTCAGTGTGAATGGTCTTTGAATCAGGAGCATTACAGCGACACACAAAGTCCACAATAAGGGAAATTAACTGCTGTTAACAAATGGACATAAGGTTTACTAATGAATTCATTGGTTTGAAGATCATTATCTGGTTATTATAAAAATGCAAATTATGTTTATACATCTTAGTAAACTGCTAATATTTACTGTGTAAAGCATTTTCAAAAATTATTTGGATGCAAGTGTAAAGTCTAATACTTGTTTAAATAGATAATAAGTAGGTAGGTAAGGGTGTAAATCACCAGACTGAAGCTGGAGAATGCAGTTTTGGTCCTGTTATATTCACTGTTTATTACATTTGCTCCTGAATGTTAGGTACACTTGTTCAACTGCTCTTTAACGCAAATATCTAATCAGCCGATCGCATGGCAACAACTCAATTCATTTAGGCATGCATGGCATGGTCAAGATGAACTTGTGATGCTCCAGTCAAGCATCTGAATGGGGAACAAAATGAAATGTCTAAGGAGCTTGGAAACAAAAGCGTCTGGACTTCTTTTAAGTTTTGTCTTGAAGATGTTTCACCTTTCATCCGAGAAGCTTCTTCAGTTCTAAGCGCAATTGGTGGAGAGTCCCAGATTTTAAGCCCTATGGGAGTGTCCGCAAGAGGGTCATGGACCCTCTATTGATCCTCTACCTAATCACAAGGTCCAAGGTCTGAAAACGGGTGTGTCTCACAGTCAGCCAAGGTTTCAGGTGAATCCATTGTGAAACCCATCCCCACCCTATCATGTGATTTATTGAGGTCAAATGCCCCAGGATGTGAGTGGGCATTAAGGCATCAGTTAACACCTTACGGTAGTTTAACCTAACCAAGAAACTTAAAAGGTAGGAACACAACAAAGGATGTCAATATAAAAATATAGATGGCAGACAGTTGGTGTGGTGAACCACCGCCTCTGTTCAAAGATGGCCGTTCACAGTTGACATAGATGGGTTCTTTCACACCATCCTTCTGCTGTCCAAAATGGGAACACTGGCATCCTCCTTTAGATGCAGATGTCCTGTGGAGGTGGCTCTTCTATGTTGTGCCATGCTTTTATGAAGTGTCTGTTTGGTCTCTCCGATGTAGAGGTCTGAGCATTCCTCGCTGCACTGTACAGCATACACTACCTTGTTAAGTTAGTGTTTAGGAGTTTTGTCTTTGCAAGCTCCTTAGACTACGATGACCTGGATGACTGAGAACCTTCACAGACACTTGACAAATCTTGGATCAGATAGAATCCAGCAGCAGAAGAGCACACTGGGTGCCACTCCGGTCAGATAATAGAAAACTGAGGCTCACCATAACTGGAAAACAGTAGACTGAATGTTGGGTTGATGAATTTCCATTGCTGTTGGTATAAACAGCCTGAAAGCATGCTTCCACACTGGCTTGTATCAACCGTTCAGGCTGTTGCTGGAACCTTATGAGTGATATTTTCCTCAGCCCAGTTTAGATTCCAACTGTACCAACTGAGTATCGTTTAAACGTCAAAGACATTCACATCATAGATGTACAGCCAACAGATCAGAAGCAACTGTGTGATGCTATCATGTAAATATGGACAAAAAAAATTTCCACTATCTTGCTAAATGCCATGATGAAATAAGGCAGTAATGAAAACAAGAGTCTAACCTGGTACTAGCAGGGTGTAACTAACAGTGTCCAGTAAGTGTATAATACGGTATCTAACAAGTGCAAATTTAATTGTTAACATTTTTTTTCCCCCACAGCCATTAATAATGATTGTTAACTATTATTTCAGTCCTTTTTAAATCGTGAAAGCTTAACAACTGTTAGCAATGGCTAAAAGACAGCGTTTTGTGAGACTGTGTTTGTGTATTACAAGGAGGGTATAGAGCATTTGGGTAATCACTTCAGAAATCCTGGTAATTTCAAAGGTTACATGTAACTGGACCTGGAATTACATCACAATTTCTTTTTCAAGCACTTATGAAGAAAATGAGACCAAACAAGTGTTAATAAAAACCTTTATTTTTCATTTATTTCTAAGGTTTTCCAATAGTTGTTTCAAGCTTTTCTTGCCCATTTGACCCATCCAGCCCTGTCCCCCCGCCCCCAAGTGTTTCTCTAATGATTCCCCCCAGTTACAACCCTTAAGCTCCTCTACGATCAAAATAACCACATCTGTTGAACAACCTGCCAAATGGAAGAACGCTACAATAAAACACAAAACACGTGCCCGAAAAAGCCAGAAGAGCAGAGCAGAGAGAATCAAGTATCGGAGCGAACACGTTAAAGAGTATTCTTAGGAGGAAATACGCAAGAACTCTAACTAGACAAAAATGGAGTGTTGAGAAACCCAGAACTTAAGAGCAAGCTTGACACATTCAAGTGAAATACCTGAAATACAGCACCAGCTGAGGAAACAGAGCTTGGGAATAAACTCTATATACAGAAGATAGCTGCAGTTGTTTTTTTTTTTGTTCATTGTCAGAAATTCACAGTGACCAGCGAAACTGGACATATAGTGGGCACGACTACACTGCTGGTAAACTGTGGTGCTCATTGTGGTTATAAGCAGCAAGTGAATGCTTACAGCTCATACATTAATGCTATACATATATATACCTATGTACACAGAGTATAAATAAAACCACAACAAAATTCAAACCCAAATATATTTTCATACATCATTTAACACCAAAAGAAAAAAAAAGGGGGGAGATTTTCTACTGTTACAATTTAGGAAATCCAATCAAATACATCATAACTTTACAATTGTCATTTGAAGTGCTCTGCTGCTGGGATAAAGACATGAACATACAGTCAAATAAAAGAAGACTTAAAAACAAAACAAAACTCTACAAAGCCCCCCCTCCCATCCTGTTTTTATTCAAGCTTGCTCTTAAGGATTTCCTATAGGTTGCCAGTTACAACACCCTT